ACAGGAAATATTTTATCTTGTATATCATCAATTACTTACCTTACCAAAACTCCTTTAAACAAATAACATCCATATTTTGTGTTGTGTGGTAGTTTTTTCTATGCTTAGTTGATTCTAAGAAAATTGATAAAGTTTAGTCTAGTGACAGACTAGCTCTTTCTAACGGGCCCAACTGAGTAGGTCTATCTTGCCCCATCCACCTGAGGACAGAGACAGATCCAGTCTCTGAAACGTTGTAATTTTTTGTCTTCTATATACCAGAGGAGGGATAGAGTCCAAAATAAACCTTATAGTTCTATACAGATGAACATATTATATGGTCAAGGGAGGGACTTAAAGTAGAGGGACGCTTGAAACTAATGACCCGCAAACTATATAAATTTTTTCAGTAAATATGCACTCTTGGTCTGTTTACCTGAGAACATTTTAAAATTGTAATCCAGCTTCAGAACTGACATTAAGTAAAACTTCACTCTGAGGGGTATACTTGATTCATGAGGTTCTTGTCATGGTTTTACAAAGAGCTCTACCTTCTTGAATGATAAAGTACTGTATAGTGTAGTAGATGTTTGCTGATATTGTGGAGCATGCTGCCCGCTTGTTACTTTGTTGGTTTATGTTTTGATCCTTAAGATGGCAGCAGTAATTGCCCTGAAACTTCTACCAGACTACACAGCATCACACCCTAGAAGATAGTTGTGTTACAGAGTTTGTGATAAACCAAATTAGAAATGCAACAAACACATGAAATAACTGGAAGATAAGCTAGTCATAGCTTTTTCAGTAGACATTCTTACAGTTTCATTAGTTGATGGTTTATATTTTAACCCATTGGAGAAAATTCAGGAGCATTTATTTAATTTAGTGTCAGAAATTGTTTATTTTGCAAAATTATTTTCCTTTTCTGTCTTAGACACTGATGATCCAGCCTCTGTGTGCTCTGTAATCTTTATTTTATTTACAGTACTCAAAGGTAATACTTTGTTTTGCTGCACTTCTTTTAGAGGTCATTATTCACAATTAAAACAATACTTTGGTGTTACAAGAAGTGATAATTTAATGTTTGAGGGAGAATTTATGATTGATCATAACTATCTGGCTACAAGTAATCAATTGAGGAACTGAAAATAGTCCAGAATTTATTTGACTGTGAACGATATCTGATTTTACAAAGTTTTAGACTAGTGGGATTTGAAGGCTACTTGCTACCTGCTTTACGCTGGTTTATTTCTTTGTCTTATGATTTAGCTTGATGCAGGTACTGTGCTTCTCTGAAACATTAGTTTACTTGTATGCCAGAAAATAGAACTATTCCTAGACTAGTAAAGTATCAGTGTAGTTTGTGGGAACACTCTGCCTTGAATATAGGGAATTACTTGTATATCACTGTAAAGAACATATTTTGGTTTTTATGTGATACTTACTCATTTAAAATTGCTGTCAGGCATGGGCAGTGAACAAGGGATAGTCCTGCAACTTTGGGTTGGGTGTAGAAGGCCTCAGACATGAGTAGATTCTCTGTCATAATACAGGTAATATTAGAATGACATGGCAGTAATACTTTAAATAATTTTAATAGGATTTAAGTGTCAGAAGACTTGCTAGATTAACTCAGTTATATGTATGCATGAAATATCTAATAAAATTGAATTTTAAACCAACAATTGGGAATGACACTTTGCACAAAATTAGTAATAATAATGGAGTTAGAGTAGTAAACTCTGACTGTCAAAAGTACAATGTTTCCACATTGTAACATTCATAAATTGAAAATCTCCTGATGGAAACACAAACAAAATGACCTCAGTTTGATAGCTAGGAGATGACATTCAAATGTACTTGATGTCTGATCATTCAGGGCATCTAATTGTGACACTGACCACTATCTGATTGTGGCAAAGTCAGGGAGAGGCTGGCAGTGAGTAGACAAACCATGCACAGATTTCATATGGAGAGATTTAATCTCAAGCAATTAAATGAGGTAGAGGGTAAAGAGCAATATCATATTGTAATCTCAAATAGGTTTGCAGTTTCAGAAAACTATAGGATGAGGAGGATATTAATAGTGCTTTGGGAAACTATTACAGAGAATGTCAAAATTTCTGCAAAAGAGAGTTTAGGTTATGAGCTGAAGAAGCATATGCCATGGTTTGACTAAGGATGCTCAGAATTATTAGAACAAAGTAAACAAGCCAAATTGCAGTGGTTACAGGATCCAAGTGAAATAAATGGGAATAATCTGAAAAATATAGGATGTGAAGCCACAGGGATTTCAGGAATAAAAAGAGGGAATATCTGAAAACCAAAATTAATGAGCTTGAAATGAACAGTATGAACAAGGACATTAGATACCTGCATAGAGGAATAAATGAATTTAAGAGGGGTACCAACGTAGAAGTAACTTAGTGAAAAATGAGAATGGTGATCTTCTTGTAGATTCCAGCAATATTTTGGTTAGGTGGAAGAAATGCTTCTCCCAGTTATTGAATGTACATAGAGTCAATGACTTTGGCAGGTAGAAATACGTACAGCTGAGCTGTTAGTACCTAATACAAGTCCTTCTGTTGTTGAATTTGATATTGTAAAGTTGAAGAAATATAAATCACCAGGTAGAGATCAAATTCTGGCAGAACTGATTCAAGCAGGAGGTGAAAAAATTATGGTCTGAGATCCATAAACTCGTTAATTCTATTTGCAATAGGGAAGAATTGCCTGATCACTGGAAGAAGTCTATTATTATACCAAATCACAAGAAGGGTGATAAAACTTACGTTTTAATTATTGTGGGATATCACTGCTATCAGATTCATACAAAACTTTATCCAATATCCTCCTCGCAGAGTTAAGTCCGTATATACAGTAGATGAAATTATTGGGGATCATCAGTGTGGGTTTCAACATAACAGATGAAACTGCTGATAAGATTATTTTGCATTTGTCGGATACTGGAGGAATAATGGGAGTACAATGAGACAGTACATCAGCTATTCATAGACTTCAAGAAAGCCAATGATTCAGTTAGGAGGGAAGTATTGTACAATATTCTGACAGAGTTTGGGGTACCCATGAAGCTAGTTAGGCTGATTAAAATGTGTTTAAATGAAATGCACAGTGAAGTCTGTATAGGTGAACATTTTTCTGATACTTCTGCTATCCCAAGTGGTCTAAAACAAGGAGATAATTTATTGCCACTGCTTTTCAACTTTGCTTTAGAATATGCGTTTAGGAAGATCCAAGAAAACCAGTTGGGACTGAAATTATGGTCTCTGCTGATGATGTAAATCTACTGGGTGATAACATAGGTACAGTATGGAAAAACACAGAAACTTTTAACTGACACTGGTAAGGAGGTTGTCTACAAGTAAATGCAGAGAAAACTAAGTATCTGGTGCTGTCTAGTCTTCAGAATAGAAGGAAAAATCGTGACATAAAGATATGTAACAGATGCTTAGAAACTGTGACATAATTAAGGTATTTGAGAATGACAGTAACATATCACAATTTGATTCAGGAGGAAATTAAGAGAAGATTGAATTTGGGTAATGCTTGCTACCATTCGGTCCAGGACCATTTGTCTTCCTGTCTGCTGTCCAAAAACATAAAAATTAGAGTATACAAAACTATAATTTTGCCTGTGGTTCTGTATGGGTGTGAAACAGGGCAATTGATAATGTTTAGAAATATAATATCTGTATTTACAATTTTGTTCTCTTCACTGAATATTATTAGGCACTCAAAGCAGATGAGATGAATGGTACGTATAAGACACTTGGTGGAAGAGAAATGCTCATGAATTTTGAAGAGGGGAGACCACATGGGAGACCTAGGCATAATGAAAGAATAATATAAAATTAGATTTTGAAGATATAGTGTGTTAGGACATGTACTGAATTTATTTGATGTAAGACAGTGTCTGGTGACAGTCTCTTATGAACTTAGTATCTCAAACATTGGGCTTCATAAGAAGATGTGAATTTCTTGGCTAGCCAAAAAACTGTTAGGTTCTCAAGAAGTTTATTAGTTACATGAACAAAGAACTAATATATATTGCTTGGGAAGAAGTTTATTAGGGACAGTTTGTAATGTTGAATATTTTCTGACTAAGTAATTTTGTTTTTTTAAACTTAAAAATGTGGTGGCATCAAACATAATGATTTATTAAGTATATTTTGATATAGATGTAACATTATTTATAATTACAGTATTCATTGAATATATTTTTGTCACCTTATAATTACTTACTACATAAATGTTTGATATATTTCTGTCATGTTGGACATCACGTAACCCTCAAAAATGTTTCAACAAGCATGAGAGTAATGAATATTGTTTGACCAATGACTGAGTTATATCAACATCTCATATATTTATATACTCCTGTGTTACATCGGTATATCACTGTATATTGACATGCACATAGCTAGTCACATACATTTTTTGTTTCATGGGTGCATGTATAAACTACACAGTAATGTGATATTAGAAGGGCCTTATTGTAACAACTGTTATCATGTTGGACATGGGTGAGACATGGAAGCACAAATGGGATATTAACAAATACATACAAAGTCTTACTTGAAAAATCACAAGGGAGATAACTACTTTGGAATTATAGGCTTAGATGAGAGGATAATATTATAATTAATCTTAAATAGGCCATGAAGTTGTGGAATGGAATATTGTGGTTTAGATTAGGATCCACTGATTGGCTTTATTGAATATGAAAGTTCATATTCTATAAGAGCAAGTAATTTTGACTGTTAACATCTCAAAAAGACCCTACACCAAGGAATTGTATTAGACTGTAACAGCAGGATTTTATGCTGATTTATATTTTGTAGTATATTTTATGAATTCTAAGACAAAGGCTAAGTGCAAATATTTATTATAAAACATAAAATGTATATTCTCCTCCTAAAAGAAATCTCCAACACAATGAAAATAATGTAATAGTAAATACTAACATAACTTATAATGGTCTTTATGTATTTTTGTTCCAGATGTGTATGAGAGTAGTCATCGAGACAAACCCAGTGTTCTGGTGACATCTCCAGGTTCACCAGACCTGCACATTCCAGCCCGTTCAGCCCGTCCACCTAGGCTGGGATCTTCACCCACCATCTCTAATGTAGGAGGTCGGTTACAGGTCAGTATGACCAGTAACATCAGTAAGAGCATTGATTAAGAAGAGGCTGCACAACCTTTCTCTTGCAAAATGTTCACATTATACAGTTCCTTTTTTTCTGTAAGCTGCATTAAGAACAGGTTGTAAAGAGTACTGGAAGCCAGCTTTGTTTCTGTTAATGGAAATATTATAGTTGTTTTTATAGAATTGACAGAATGGAATACTTAAAAGTAACAGTTTTTAAAACAATTCTTATGTCTGATATGAATGGAATGATAGGCTGAATCTTTCTTGTGCACTGATATATACACTTTTAACCATACTGTTAATGGCCATGAGACTGTGGTGTGAGGGATATCAGAGGAAAGCATAGTTTGAGGAAGGTTCTGAAGTGAAAAAATGTTCATCAGTAAGAGGACATTAGAACTTGACTGTTCACTGAGATATGTCTGTTCACCAGCTCAATTGGAAGAATGATAACATTTTTAAGAATATCTATTGAATTTTCAGTGGCTGAACCTAAGAAGACACTTCTTATTTGTTTCTGTTTTCTAGGACCTCCAGGAAACTTACACTTATATTTTGGAACCATAGTTTGTAAATGTCATATGAAGATGCACTCTTTTGATGATCTTATTTTTTTAATATTACACACATGATGCTAGTTTTATTCTGAGCAGCCTTTCACTATATTCTTCTTCTAGCATCTGTTTCCTCATTCTGCTTGTTGTCAGGTGTCACAATAACAAATGCTACATACACACATTAATAATTATTGTACTGTAACCTTAATAAATTATGAGTGAGTTCTGAAAGCATTTCTGACAAATTTTAAATAATGTAGTACACAACATAAAGCAGTTGCACTTGAAGTACATGTTACATAGATATGATTAAGTACCCAGTTTGATGCTGAAAACTAGAGAAGTATGGTGGCAAGTGAATGGTTTCTTAAGCTGCCAATAAATACAGAAAATGTTTTATGAACTGTGAATGGTATTCAAACAAGGGAACATGCATAGCATGCAAATAATATGTTCGTTTCTTTACCTGTGTTAATTATTTCAATGGAGAGGTTATGCATATTTGGGCATATTATTATTTCTTACATATATAAATAATTTATTATCAGAAGAATGGCATGAATAGTATTATGAAGGTTAATTAATAAAGAGGTTTAAAATACAGGAGCATGAATGCTGTCTTCTGTGCTGGAGACTGTCATTATTTTAAATCACTGTTTTCTCTTGAACTAGCAATTGGAATGAAGGTAAACTTGAAATATCTTGAAACTACTACATTGCATCTGTTGAAAGTTTTGTTTAACTGATTAATTTCAAGTAGCTAGTTTTCTCTATGCTAAGCAAGACAGTCTGTGCCTTTGTAAAACCTGAAGGTTCATTGCTGTGTTCAAAAGAGTCTGCAGTGGGCCCTGCTTTGAGCCACATGAATACATTCCATACACTCACACCATTTCTTTAGGATTGGTATAATTTTTGTCCTCCCATTTACACTCAGGTTCATGAAGTTGTCTATTCCCAGCAATTTTTTTCTGTAAAATAATATTTGCATTTCTGATCTCCCCATATGTGCTACATTTCCCGTCCATCTCATTCTCTTTGATAAGAATATTAAGTAACAAGTTTTTGATGCAATTTTTCCATCCTTGTCCTACTTCTTGTGCCTTAGATGTAAATATTCTCCTCGGCACATTGTTCTGAGACATTCTGAATCTGTATTCTTCCCTTAGGGCAAGAAAAGCATTGTTATGGAATGGAAGTTTGTAACAGCTTGTAATCATAGTTTGAATTAACACAAATTGTTTGAGGATCTTCTTGGAGACCTAATTCCCAAACTGTATTCAGTGGAACTCAGGGACCCTGCAGGTACAGCTCTCAAAAGAATAATTTCGTTGTGAATGCTAACCTAAACAGTTACAATACATTCTATAGGAATTATAAATCCAAAATTTGTGTCTGTCTTCACCTGATGATAATGGCAATAATTAAAATCATACGTTATTTACAGGAGGAGATCCTTCAGAACTGAAATTTTTGTATAAGAGTGTTAGATTAAAGAGATGCAGTCCAGTTACAGGCAATATATATATATAGTTTTTTATGTCTATATAAACGTGGATTTTAACATATGTAATTTAAAACGTTAACATGTTTTGGTACATGTGTGCTATAATCAAACCATTAAACATATGTAAATGTGATAAAACTTTAAAAACATAATGGTTGTCAAACCTAGAAACTCATGTAGACATCTTACCTCTTCCATTTGAATACATGTTTTCATTGATGAAGTTTGTTGTAAATAACCAAGAACATTTTCTGACTAATTTAAATGTGCACAGTGTTAACACAATGAGCAAGCGCCATCTTTATGGAAAAATTGCCAACCCTCACATGTTCAGAATAGTATATACTATGCTGGCATCAGAACTTTCACTAGTCTACCATCTAGTTTCAAATGTTTTATGAATGAAAATATGCAATTTAAGGTAGCACTAATAAGTTGCTTAGATACACAACCATTCTACACTTTCATTGAACTCCTATTTAAAAATTAATCATAATCTACTCGAAGGTTTGCATGAATAGCATAAGTGGACAGCACTGACCTCTACGTGTGAATCTATTTGAAGCATTTGAATATCTTACACAAACCTTCTGTCATTTTTATATTTTATAGTTTTATTTTTTATGTGAAATATTAGTTGTAATGCACATACATGTACTGCTATGTATTTTTTTAGTCAGTCTATCACAAGAAACTAACTAATAAATAAACAACTGAAGTCACAATTGTTTGTCGATATCTTTCTTTATTAATACATAGCAGTTGATATACATGAGAGAATGCAAAACACACACATAAAAATATATATATGTTTTTTTTAACCACATCCCATGGTCATTTCTGACCAACTTATGGTCAGTGGAATATACTTTAACATTTGAAATGAGGACGAATAGCCTGATCAGTGGAAGGAGTCTATTACTGTATCAAGTCATGAGAAGGGTGCTAAAACAGACAGCAGTAATTATCATGGGATATTACTGCTACCAATTTCATACAGAATTTTATCCAATATCATTCTCTCAAGATTAAGCCCATATATAGATGAAATTATTGGGGATCATGGATCATCAGTGTTGGTTTCAACATAACAGATGAAACTGCCGATAAGATTATTTTGCATTTGTCAGATAGTGGAGGAATAGAGTAGAATGAGATAGTACATCAGCTATTCATAGACTTCAAGAAAGCCAATCATTCAGTTAGGAGGGAAGTACAGGGTGTTCCTAAAAGAATGGTGGGGTTTTAGATATGTATATATTTCGTATTTCTTACTGTGTACAATCATAACATGTGTCAATCGGAAGCTTAACTGTCCAAATTTTATGTACATCCATCAAAGTGCCTCTATGTGCGCACCTTTCGTTACCCGGCACACATCAATGCGATAGTCGAATTCCTGCCACACCCGCTGCAGCATTTCAGGTGTGATGGTCTCCACAGCATGATTGATTCTGTTTCGGAGATCCTGGAGAGATTGGGGCAATGGGGATACATAAACCACGTCCTTCACGTATCCACTGTCCACAAACTGCCGGTACCATCTGCGAATGTTGTTTTCATGTGGCGCCTCCTTCTGAAAATGTACACAAAATTCACGGCGCACTGTAATGATGGATTTAGACACCTCAGATCTCAGCATGCAGTAGGCCTTCTCCTGCTGGGTCGCCATCTTACATTTCACCCCTCCTAACTGTCAGAAATGGAACTAGGAAAGAGCATGATATACAAAATGAAAATATGAGAGCCGCGTTATGAGTCCGTATATGTTTTGCTTTTCATCACCAAAAACTGATGGAGATATACAGCAATGAAACCCCACCATTCTTTTAGGAACACCCGGTATTATACAATATTCTGATAGAGTTTTGGGGACTGATGAAACTAGTTAGGCTGATTAAAATGTGTTTAAATGAAATGCACAGTGAAGTCTGTATAGGTGAACATTTTTCTGATACTTCTGCTATCCCAAATGGTCTAAAACAAGGAGATAATTTATTGCCACTGCTTTTCAACTTTGCTTTAGAATACGCTTTTAGGAAGTTCCAAGAAAACCAGTTGGGACTGAAATTATGGTCTATGCTGATGATGTGAATCTACTGGGTGATAACATAGGTACCATATGGAAAAACACAGAAACTTTTAACTGACACTGGTAAGGAGGTTGGTCTACAAGTAAATGCAGAGAACACTAAGTATCTGGTGCTGTCTATAGTCTTCAGAATGTAAGGAAAAATCGTGACATAAATATAGCTAACAGATGCTTAGAAAATATTTGATATTTGATATTTGAGAATGACAGTAACATATCAGTATTTGATTCAGGAGGAAATTAAGAGGAGATTGAATTTGGGTAATGCTTGCTACCATTCAGTCCAGGACCATTTGTCTTCTTGTCTGATGTCTAAAAACATAAAAATTAGAATATACAAAACTATAATTTTGCCTGTGGTTCTGTACGGGTGTGAAACTTGGTCACTGACATTAAGGGAGGAACATAAACTGAGTGTATGACAACAGGGTGCTGAAGAGAATATTTGGACAGAAGAGAGATGAAGTGATGGGAAGATGGAGAGAACTGCATGAGGAGGAGCTTCATAGCTTATGCTTTTCACCGAGTATAATTAGAATGATCAAGTCATGGATGGTGAGATGGGCAGAGCATATAGCACAAATATGGATGAAGAGGAATGAATGTAGGATATTTATTGGGAAAGCCAGAAGGAAAGAGACCACTAGGAAGACAAAGATGTAGGTGGGTGGATAATATTAAAATGGATCTTAGAGAAATAGTATGGGGTGGTATAGACTGAATTGATCGGGCTCAGGATAGGGATTAGTGTGGAGGGCTGATATGAACACAATAATGAACCTTCAGGTTCCATAAAGTTCTGGAAACTTATTGAGTAGCTGCATGACTGGCAGCTTCTCAAGAAGGGCTTAGCTCCATGAAGTTAGTTTAATTAATTATGTGTGCTGTGTGAGTGTGTGTTTATTACTGACTTCTTATTTGATGAGAGTTTTCTTGATCCTGTGAACTTCTGCAGTTGTCAGAAACTTTGTATAGTGTGCACCTGAAGACAAAGGAAGTGTGTAGGAATAGAGTTTCAAGAGAACCTACTCCAAAATTAATTCATCTCACTTTCAGTTCACTTGTTATAAATAATGAGTGCTTGGTAGTGTAAAACTGCATATACCGTTTACAAGTGTCAATTTTGTTCCCGTTCAACTTCGACAGTAGTGAGTGTTGTTCACATCATACAACAAGGGGGAAGGGAGAAGTGTTTTGCCCAGACCTCTATATCTTACCATCCTGTGCCGGTCCATACATATACATATACACTTCGTACATCCACAAACCACCACATTTCCGTTGTCCACTATGCTCAGAGTCTTGTACATCCCTAAACCCAAGACCCCATCCATTGACACTGCTGAGCAAAGTGAGCATCTACAGTTAACCATACATTCAAAGTGTACTTATCCTTTATGGACGCAGTCCACTTCCACCAAACTAAAATTATACTTGGACACACATGTCAGTAGGAACTATGGACGTTTATAGCACCATGCTAGTGTTAAATTAAAATAATATGGTACAAATCTTGTGTGTACATCATTGGGAGTTTTCAGATTTTCATTATGATACTGTAGTGTGTAGACCCATTACTGGGTAACGGCCTCAAAACAAACAATGAAACAACATTCCCTTCTAGGAAACAAATTCTTAATAAGCAAGTATATGCAGCTGTTACTGGGTAACACCTTCACAAACAAGCACATACCAATGGAAATGATTAGAGTAAGCAATGAATGATGTTTTCTATGTGGTCTCAGTCTTCACTAGCCGTTGCTTGACAGCAGCTTCCAATGGTGGACATTCCTCATCCTCTGACTACCTGAACTGTCTCTGGCGTCAGTTAACAGCTGCTCACTCATCATACCTGCAGCTCTCAACTGACTCAACCAACAACTGAACTACTAGTCCTCGTTATATAGCCCTGGCATGGACCACACAGAAATCATTTCTTCCAATGTTGCCTTTTCTCTCATTACTGGAGAAACTATGTCCACAGAGCTGTTCCTTAGCAGTGGCTGTTGTACTGTCGCCTGTTTACACAGCTGTTATATGGCAATGGTTCTACATATCACAGTATTCTCAAAATGAAATATAAGGACTGTGGTAGTCAGATATAATATCAAATGCTGTCTGACTCATGCTGTGTTGGAATAGCCAGTGCATTCTGATGGATACATGGCAAGGAGAAAATAAAGCATTTGTTACTGTGGATGATGACTCAGTTCAGGGGAAATATATGATACAGTTCTCTTCCTGTATTCCCAGTATTTCAGAGAATAAACAATAGATATGTGTGAGAATAACCGAATTAATTTTTAGAAAACAAAAAGGAAGTTGAAGAGTACTATTGCCTGGGATATAACAACGTGAAACCATCTTGCCACCTGCTTTCATGCTGTATTTTGCTCAGCTTATTGAACCCTGAGGATGGAAGCGATATGTTCCTACGAAACATCGGTTTACTTTCAGTGGACCATACGGCATTATATACCAGATGATATACCACCGCTCAGAGAACCTAAAGTCCTACATGAAGAAAGTTGTGCATATAACGACTGATTATTTCAAAGCTTTGTATACAGATAAACAGATTCATTCTTAATCTAGGTTTTATTTTAAGATTATAGCATAAAAGCTGTATTATGTAAATATTATTGACTGATACCAAGCATCTTACTTTTAAATGACAGTTTAATCTGGCCATGTGCAGGCATGATTAATGAAATATCTTGTATGCTAATGGTTTATACCTTCAAGTTTTATTTTAAATATTTTATGACATGGCTGAGTATTTAATGAAACACAAGAAACCTAATTTGTGACTCTATAAATTATGTATTGTCTCTGTTGTTTATTCCCGATGAGGTCATTGGATTTTTTTCAATTGACCTAATCCTTCCGGCTGCACTATGGCCCTGGGGTCGACTCGGCCTCTAACAGAAATGAGTACCAGGAATTAATTAAATAATTTTCCTGGGGAGTAAAGCGCGGCCAGCGCGTAAGGCTGACAACCTTACCACCATCTTTGAGCTGATTGTTTAGATAATATGGGACCCTCAACGTCTCACAACCCTATGGGCCTTCACAGCCTGTTACAGGGATAGCTTTGCTTCACTTTACTTACTTTACTTTGTTGTTTATTAGCTCATTCAGCAACATAATTCATGCTTTTGTAAAATTTATTATCTCTCTCAATAGTAGATTGGCAACTAACATAAATGAGCAAGAAGACTAGAAAAATATTGCTATAGATTAACCGGAATTATAATTTTACACTGAAGAAATGTTGCCAAGCAGTTACTTTAGTTCATCTTGTTTCAAAATATGGAGTAACATCTGTTGTCACAAATATGTCAGTATGAAATTTAATTCTTACAATCCATTTCCATAAAGCAAAATATTCGGACATGGATTGTTACTTGTCTAAGAGAATCCATTTTTTTAATATTAATTTTAGTGTTGTACTTAAGCACCCTGTTGCGTTAACATTACAGTTTCGTACATACAGCTGTCTTAAATGTGGTATTTTATTTTCTGTCTCATATAACTTATCCAACAGGTATGTGTGAGTCATGCTCAAATTATTTCACTGTATGCTCTATTTTGTCAAATACCTATACTCGGTGTTAATATTTTATTTATATTTGAAGTTAATTTTTTAAATTATTTGCTCATTAGCTGTCTTTTTCCTTTATATTTATTGCATTTCTTCATCAGTAGGACAGTTCCTGTGTTAGTACTTCTGTGTCAGCATAATATAAGTATAAAATGTAGGAAAATAATTGTGTGACTTTCTACTGCTGTTTAGGTGAAGCTGTGGTTTGACTCGGGGGCACTTCAGCTTGTTGTGACAATTGCCAGTGCAGCTGGGCTCATGCCTAGGAACAATGGCCAACCTCGCAACCCATATGCCAAGCTCTTCCTGCTGCCTGATCGGAGGTATATGCTGTTTTGTCATATTTGGCATTTCTGAATATGAGTGGTGTGAGTAGAGAGTGAGGAAATAGGCATAATAAAGTGACTTTGCAATTTATATTTTACCTTTATTGGCCATGCATTGCACTGTTGTATCATTGCATGCAGGTAGTCCAGCTGGCGAAGCACCAAATTTTTCAGCACTGATACTTGAACCCCCAAGTTAAAACAAGGCACTGACCCTTAATAATGGGGGATTTAAAATCCCTTGTTTCTGGGTGATAGTTGTTAAAAATGTTTTTATTTTTTATAAAATTGGATGAGTGTTCATAGCTGTATGCTGAAAATAGTAGATGAATGTCAAAAAAAACTTGTTAGCCAAATACAAGATGGAATGTAAATTTAAATGCAAGTCTTCTAAATCTTGTGACATGTCAACGAATTGCCAGGCAATGGCTCAATAAACACCCCGCAATAAGCGCATGCAACAATAGGATGAATGTTTGTAGCCCATTGCTAGGCAACAGTCAGAGCGTAAATGAACTTGCTGGGCAGAAATCACGTGACATGCTTTCTGTAGGTCCGCGCTGTAGGTTGATCAGGGACAACAAAGGTTGTTTGTGGGCAGTCGTAAGCTGGAGGAGTGAGAAGTAAGCTGGAGCAGTAGTAATAGAGGAGAGTTTTCAGTTGAGTGCCGAGGTTCCAGAGGGATTGAACAAGAAATGGCAAGGAGACTCCATAATGATTTGAAGTGCTAGTTTCTGTGTTGAGATCCTGCCAGGAGATGATTAGAGGAAACTGAGAATCATAGTGCATGTGCCATGGTGAACGGTAAATTATGTAAATCACCAATAGCGCTGTATTAATTGTAATTAAGAGAGATTGTAACCGAAGTGTTAATAAATCCGATCATCAGAACACTGGAACCAAATATCTTTGAGACACATACCTCCATACATGTGACAGCATTAAGTGTGGTCTTTTGTTGGTTCATATGTTAGTGTGTGTGTGTGGGTGTGTGTGTGTATGTGTATGCGCGCATGCATGCATGTGTTTGTGTGAGGGAGAGATCCATTTACTTACTTACTTACTTACTCACTCATGGAGCTGAGCCCTTCTGGAGGAGCTACCAATTCTGCAGCAACTCATGAAATTCAGCATTTTATGGAACCCGAAGGTTCATCACCGTGTTCACAAGAGCCCTCCACTGGTCCCTATCCTGAGCCAGATCTATCCAATCCATACCATCCCATCATATCTCTCTAAGATCCACACTAATATTCTCCACCCACCTACGCCTTGGTGTTCCTTGTGGTCTCTTTCCTTCTGGCTTTCCCACCAATATCCTATACACATTCCTCGTCTCCCCCATTCATAAATTCATTAATTCTATTTGGAATAAGGAAGACTTTCCTGATTAGTGGAAGAAAACTATTATTGTACCAGTTTACAAGAAGGGTGATAAAACTGACTGTAGTAATTATCATGGGATATCAATATTATCAACTTCATACAAAATTTTATCCAATATCCTTCTCTCAGGGTTAAGTCCATGTATAGATGTAATTACTGGGGATCATCAGTATGGGTTTTGATGTAACAGATCAACTACTGACCAGATTTTTTGCATTCATCAGATACTGGAGAAGAAATGTGAGTACAGTGAGACAGTATTATCAGCTATTCATAGACTTCAAGAAAGCCTATGATTCAGTTTGGAGAGAAGTATTTTCATAGAGTTTGGGGCACCTATGAAACTAGTTAGGCAGATTAAAATATGTTTAAATGAAGCATATAGTTAAGTCCGTATAGGTAAACACTTCTCCGATGAGTTTCCTATCCAAAATGGTCTAAAACAAGGAGATAGTTTGTTGCCATTACTTTTGAACTTTGCTTTATATTATACCATTATGAATTTCCTTGCCACTTCTCTCTCCTTTTCTGCTTACTACAGATTATATGTTAGGAGGATGGCCCATTTTATGTGGTGTTGAAGACTCCCTTTCAATAGTAATATAAAAAATTATATATATGAAGCGAAAGAAATATACCAAGTACTGCTCATTTTGAAACAGAATGACTTTATCATAGATACATTTAATAGAGAACTAGTAAACAGTTTGAATTAGAAAATGAATAGTACAAAAAGCTAACAAACCCAAAAGAGCTTACATATCACCTACCATCTTTTGGTGAAATACCCTAACTGATGGGGATACAATACAACCTATCCTGATAGCTTGAATGTTGACCAGCTGCTCTTCCAGTAGACAAGGGACTGAAACAGTTTTTGAAGAATGACTCAGACTACAATTTAGAGTCATCTACCTAATTCAGAGTGTGTGCGAGCAGTGTATTAAGTCAAGGAACTATCATAATTGAGGGGAGCATGGTAGTTGAAAGTAAAGGGTAGGGGAATGCATACATGCTGGGCATTTCAATTGGGAGATTGTAAGCTAAGTCAGTTCACAGGAGCACATTCCTCACACATGACTCAACATGGTGTCTGATACAAATAATGGTTGTTCAGTTTCATGGTATATGGTACATGTGGCCTCTTATTTAGTCACATGGTGTCTCTTACAGACAGATGTATCATTGTGATGTTGCATGCTGGTAGTTTAACTGGCTAAGCATTGTAGCTTTTCAGTACTTACACTATAATCCCAAAGTTAAATTGAGGCCCCAAGAGGAAGACACTGGTATGACAATATGCATATTGTGCAATCTTGGAATGTCATACAGATAGCTTGTTTTTCAGTCACATGCAATCTGATATAAATGACATGTCATTGAGTCACATGCTGTCTGTTATAGACAGCTTTTTGTCCTGTTACACAATATGTAATACAGTTAGCTTACTGGTCAGTCACATGGTGCCTGATATAGAAAGCCTGTTTTTAGTCACATATTATCTGAAACAAATAGCCTGTTGTTCACTCTCATGGTGTCCAACACAGCTGATTTTTTTGTCCAGTTGCATGGGGTTTGATTCAGCTAGATGGATGCACTGAAATAATATGTGTGCACCAGTGTTTTGTGCAATTCAGACTTACATTTTCACAATCTTAACCTGCAGAAGTGTATCGTCTTGCAACAAAGTTATTAAAAAGCATTAGGAGTAGAACTCATAAAAGTCATTTTCCTATTGCATAGGTTTCTAGTTGTAGAGCTCTCTTACTGTTACTGTTATTATTGTTATTTTCTTTTAATTTTGTTAAGAACTAATTACTCATACATAAGCACAAATTTTTAATACATTAAATGTGTTGGAATTAAGCTGAAAGTTTTCATGGTTGCCAGTTGTGTAATTGTTGATCTACAAACAAAGGTTCATACATAACCTGCAGGTAGGTTTTAGCCTTTGTCCATACCAAATCTCACATACTTGGCTTCATTGGTTGATTAGTTATGACCATAGAACCAAAAGCCAAAGAAAATATTTTCCATGACTCCGGTGTTGTTATTTTACTTGTACATTTTGTGAAAAAAAAAAAACTGGCTTAAAAAGTTGCAGGTAGTTGAAAGATCTGTTATTATACTTCATTTCGGGGCCCTAAATTATGTGTCATTGTTATTGCTCCCATCTGACGATTTCTTGTGTCTGCCATGTTGTTGTTGCTGAATATAGGAAATTAAGAAATAATTTTTAAGTAAGCTGAATGGTAGAAGGAAAGTAGGAAGGCCCATGCTGAGAAGGTAAAAGATGGAAGGTGTGGTTTACTAGAGCTGAAATTGAAGAGATGGAGGCAAAGGGAGAATGGTAAAGTGAAGGAATAGGTAAGGAAGGAAGTCAAGATTGACAGTGAGACAGCTTCCACTGGAGTAATATTCATACCAAGTTTCCTGAAAAACAGTTAGCTGAGTCAAAATTGGGTTGTGAACACACAGCATGGTAGTCTTGTGAGCATTTTCTTCATTAAAGAAAGAAACTAGGCTAAAAATGCAGAAGGAATTGCATTTTTAGGGTAGATGCACACGGAGATATTTCAAACCTAGAAGGTGCTTTAATGTTGTAATTTGGGACAAAAAATCTCTAATATTGTCATTGAAATTATGGTTGATTTTTGCTTGAATGTATACAGTAAGTGTTAGATGTGATATATAAACTGTAGTAATGACAATTTACAGTGAGAAGTCCAAGAGGCGGACAAAGACACTAGCCAACACCAATGACCCCATGTGGAATCAAACATTTATATACTCATCAATACGTCGAGCAGATTTGAAGCTTCGGGTACTGGAAGTGACTGTATGGGACTATGTTCGTTATGGAGCCAATGATTTCCTTGGAGAGGTACTGTTTCATCAATAGAAGTATATTACACTTTACACATAAAGCCCAGGGAAGGAATTGTATGTTCAATTCTATGAAGACAGATGAGCTGCTGTATCTTAGCCATAATAATTCTTGTGTCTCATGATATTCATCAGAAATGCAAATGGCTTCTTTTACATGTTTCTTAAGATCATGTTGAGGGTTAAAATAAAATTAAAATTTTATGTGACAGAATGGCATCTGGATGTTTAATTTTGAATCAATGGGGAACATTCTTTCTTCTGTCTTTGAATTGGCCCATTTCACTTGTTTGTATCAGACTAATAGAAATATTCAGCTCTTTGTATCCAGATTAAAATGAAATATAAGTAGGGAACTTCCAGTTTATTTTCTTTTTTATGTTGAATGACTTTTATAAATTAGTGCATAATATAGCATCAAATGCTAAGAATATTATGAGCGATAAATTTGGTACTGGTCATGGTCTGTATTTAGAAATTATTCAGAATTTCTTAGGAGAGTCAGAGGCAAATCATAAAATCCTCATTCAGAATTTATGTTGCCTGATCAGAAGTTGAAGCCAGAGTCATCCTAAATGCAAAACCAGGGGTCATAATCATTAAATCATAGAAGTCCCATTTAATTTAGCATGTACTATGCCAGATTTAAAGTTTTGGTCTTCATTTCCTAGGGAATTAGGTTGAATACAGTGATATTGTTGTTGTAATTTATAATGACATTGTATTAACATATTCATATAAATGTTTATTTAAGTCTCCTTAAATGATTTCTCCCATTGGTTCATTTTCATGTCACTATCGAGTGAATCATGGAAATGCATTCAACATTGTATGTCATTATTACTTTTATTTATTTATTTGATCGAGACTTCAAGTAATCCATACAGGTGATAACAAGTCACCACAGATACAGAAGTAGTCCATTATTAAAAATGAGTACAGTAGTAGCAGTTGTAACACACAACTTTGTCAATAAATAACACTATGTAATCAAGGACAATATTTGTATCAATCACAATAATATTTCATATAATACACTAACACATACTAACACAAAAATAATATACAAAGGAATAGCACAGCTGTAAATAGGTAACATAATGAACAATTACACTATGTATGATCCATCATTATGCTGACCATTCAAGGTATTCTTTTACTGAATAAAAGGATTCCTTTAAGAAAAAGTTTTTGGTAACTAATTTGAATTTTTTAACATCATATAACAGTTCCCTTATGTCATGCGATAAATGATTAAAAATTTCTATACCCATATAATAGACACCCTTTTTGCATTTGGTCAAATTTACTGATGGTATGTGTAAAATAGTACTTTGTCGTGTATTAATATAATGTATTTCATTATTAATTACAAATCGGTGTATATTTTTTACTACCAAAAACAATAAAGAAAACATATATTGTGAATAAAAGGGCAGTATATTTAAGCGTCTAAAAAGTCCCCAACAAGATATTTAGGATTCACATTCATAATGTTTCTTGTAATTCTCTTTTGTACTATAAAAACATTTTTGCTGTTAGTCGGATTTCCCCAAAAGGCAACACCATACATGATACTAGAATGAACATAAGCAAAATATACTATTTTGAAGCCTTCTATAGTTAAAAATAGTTTAAGAGATCTAATAACAAAACAAGCAGAATTTAATTTAGTAATCACTTTATTCATTTATTTATTTATTTATTTTGTCTCTGTGGATCATTGTTACATGATGTAGGACAAGTCAGTTACTGTACATTGGCTGATTACAATAAGAGAATAAAGTTACAATACTTACAGTTGTTTGCAATAGATTGCAATAGTTAAGAGTTCGCATAGTGTGAGGTTTAATCCATATTAGGTCCCCTCAGCATGTCGGCTTCCATATGTCCTATTGTATCTCTACTGGTGATAGTGCTTATAATATTTATATGCTCTTGCCAAGATAATGTCAAGTCAAGAGTTATGGCTAAAAAATCTGTGTCGTGAGTGCTATTTATTTGTTAGCTCATATACTTTATTGGAGATTTATCGATTAGACTCATTTTCATTTTAAAATACATATGATACGTTTTATTAAAGTTCAAAGTCAATGAATTAGCCTCAAACCAACCTATTATCTTCCCAAGAACAGTATTGATATTTTTTTAAGCCGCAGAGAATCTGAAGATGATGTTTAAGAGGACTGACTCCTACTGTAACATCCTCAGGAAACTTCGTAAGGTCATTCAATGGAAGTGACCAGGACTCCTCACCAAAGGCGTGTTGCTCTTGCATGACAATGCACGTCTCCATACTGCCAACAAGACAAATGAGACGCTGAGAAATTTCAAGTTGGAAGTCCTCCAGCATCCTCCGTATAGCTCCGACCTTGCTCCAAGTGACTTCCATTTGTTCGGCCCTCTTAAACATTATCTGTCCGCTGACCATTTTCCCGACGATGAAGCTGTAGAAAGGGAAGTCACTGCCTGGTTCCGACAGCAGCCCAAAGAATTTTATGCTGCTGGTTTTCAAGGGCTTGTGAAATGATGGGACAAGTGCCTCAATGTACATGGAGATTATGTTGAGAAATAAAACCATTTTTCAAATCAGTACTCTTTGTTTAAGTTCCATATCCATTTGTAACTTACTTATTGACTTATCTATGTATTTGTTTCGATCTTTCATGTGACTTACACTAAAAGTTTTAAAATTCAAAATTTAGTTTCTAATTTTTAAAACTCTTTAATTCTTTCACTTTGTTTGTCCTATTTCACACAACATGTTTTGGCCTACATATTCATCATCAAGTGCATTAAAATTGTTTTGGTGAAACTGCTGCACTTCATACACTGTTGTAACACTTTCTTTCCAAATTTAATGATTCAATTCTGAATTCTGAAGTATAGTTTCTTTTACTTCAGAATTCGGAATTGAATCATTAAACTGGGAAGAAAGTGTTACGACAATGTATATCATGCACCCCAGAATAAAGAACATTGTAATGAATCAGCGTTATACAGGGGTAGTATTAAATGGGGGTGTGCATACATATAAACATGTATAAGTACAAACTTTACTGTACAGAACTATTAGGCTTATTTTGGACTCTATCCATCATATGGTATATGGAAGACAGAAAACCACAACATTTCAGAGACTGGATCTGTAGCCATCCTCAGGTGGATGGGACAGGATAAACCTACTCAGTTGGGCCTGTTAGAAAGAGCTAGTCTTAATCACTGGTCCAGTGACGGAGACAGATCCAGTCTCCGAAACGTTGTGGCTTTTTGTCTTCTATATACCAGATGATGGATAGAGTCCAAAATAAGCCTCATAGTTCTGTACAGCATACACCATCATCAGAATCCTTTCAAGTCTAAACTTTACTGTGTTCAGAAAATCCAAGCGAGCATTGAAGTTCCTTGTCAGTATTGTCAGACATACATGAAAAGTGAGTGTTTAGGTATCCTGCATACTATCCCACATCACCTATTAATTCCAGTCCTGCTTTCTTTACATCAACATACTCATTGTTTGTTTTCTTCTGCAAAGTCTAGTAATAAAGAGTATTTCTGACTTCATATACACACTAATTACCAAAAAGTATAGGTCTGATATTTGTACTGTTCTACATAATAATGAGTTACTGACTTTGTGTAATGAGATGAACTATATTATTAGGTTGTAGTGGAGCTGAGTGAAGCACCTCTCAATGAGGAACCTGTCTGGTACTACCTTAGTGTTCATGAGGAGATACCGACACATCCGTATTCTGTAAGTATAAGTTTATACAATCACTGCTATTTTATTTACATATTGTATTGAAATTATGTAAGAATTCCACTAGCTTGGTTGTCATGTCCCTTTAGGTTAGGTACATTAGTCTCAATTCTTTCGTTCGATTTCTGTTATCCTTGTTATCCCACCATCTTTCATTTCTCTTCCCTTTTCCTTCTTCACTCATTTCCCTCAACTTTTCCCTCCTACGTGGTTGATGATTCTATTGAAGAGCACAGTCACTCTTGTTCCAGGTCTCCCAGTGTCAAGATCAGTTGCTCATGCAAAGTTCTGTCTAGGCTTAATTTGTATAAATTTCTTTTAATTTCAAATTTTAATTAAATTACCTCCAGTTTTATTTCTATTCTATATTTTTAACTCAAAATTTGTTATGAAGCATCAGGTTTTAACACCTTACACTCTTAAACCATGAAAGCAGTATGTACCTTAAAAATGTTGGCAACATCATCCATGTACGCACAGTGTAACATCCTAAGAATGGAATTAATTCAATGTTATGTGCTTATCTCAAACATATTTTGCAGTGTATAAATTTCAGCATGCATTATATTTCCATAGTTAATCACTATATTGTTATTAAATCTTTTGTTTAACTTCTGCTTTTATGGATTAGGATTTTTGCCCTATTCTCTTTCAAATTTAACTAATACTGAAATCTGAATCCTGTAGACAGTTTGTGTGAATCCTTGGATGGGTGATCAACCTGTTGCAGGGCTGCTATCTACACAGGACAAAACAAACAGAATAAATGCAGGCAAAAATGATGATGCCTCTAGTGGGATATGATTCCACAATCCTAGTGTTTGAGCAAGCAAAGACCTTTCATGCCTTAGACAGTGCAACCAGTGTGTTGGCTTTTTGTAAATGAGGTCTGGGTTCGATTCCCGGTCATACTGGATTTTCTGAGAAGTAGTGGGTCTGGAATGGGGTCCACACAACCTTGTGAGGATAATTGAGGAGCTATTTGAAGGAAATAGCGGCTCCGGTCTAGAAAACAGAAATTAACGGCCACGGGGATTCGTTGCGCTGACCACACAACACCCTCTATCCGCTAAAGTTGGCACTAACTTCACCCACAAGCGGTGATTGCTCAGTTGGTATAGTTCGCTTGTGGACTAAAACCATGGAGTTTGTTTTGTATGTATTGTTAGCTAAAAACTCTGTGATTTTAGACTTTCGTGATTGAATGAATGATGGGCAGTTAATAAATGGTCCATATGTTAGTATGCCTTGTGGTCATAATGAAGGCCAGTCGGTTTCTTCACGACATGAATCATTTTCCTTTTTCAGCTAATATTAGCCCCTGTGGTCATATAACGATCTCATATCTAAATACAAAACCATATTCCCTAGACAACACAGATATGCAGATTATGTGATAAGTATTGATGTGTTTTTTTTGTTCTTGTTGTCTCTTTTCTTTCTCCATCTTTGCCTTCTCCTCCAATACTTTCACTTTTTCCTTTCACACCTGTCTGTTCATGGAGCAGATACCATATTTATGCATGTATAGGCCGCGTGCATGTATAGGCTGCAGCACAATTTTCAGACAGAAATTATAGAAAAAATAATTTTCTTGGAATATTATTTCAGGAGTATTACACCCTATATTACTAATTATGAATATAATTTTTTTTTAAATGAAGTGTGATTTCGAATATTTCGAATATAAGCCGCACCCCAGTTTTCCTCTTGAATTTTTGGCAAAAAATGTGCGGCCTATACATGCGTAAATACGGTAATCTAAATAATTTCCAGATCCCCACAACTATACGCTTACAGTCAGAAAGTGTTAAACTAGCATCATGTTTGCTGTCATATACTGGACTCCGGTATATTCTTCATAAGTTAATTCTTTTACAGTTTTAATAAACAGTCAAATTTTGTTCATTAAATATTATGCAATTCATCTTTCTTGCATGATTCCCGATTTATAAATTTCACATTGATATTTATATATTTCATTCACATTCCCATGGCTGCCCAAAGTTAGCTGGTGTAAATGGTGAGCTTTATTTATTATATAACTGAAAAGTCCAAAGAATATCCTCTCTCAAATATATTTCCGTAAATAGCCTAAGATTACAGGACATCCTAAAATGAAATTCATATATGTGCTTATGTATACTAGGTGAAACAAAGTTAGAGAATGTATGTAAGCACATACTTAACAGAGATTAAAGTAAGGTCATCTGGACATGTAGAGTACTTAAATTAAGAAAACAAGATGTTAACATACACATTTTAGTGTACTTCACAATGTGTATTTCTTTTTACTTTTAGCGGCATGCAGATGTCGATCCTACAGTTATGGAATTGACTTTGACTCCAACAGATCATTTATCGCCTCCTAGTACCACATCAAGGTTATCTGATTCTGATACATCAGAGTGTGATTTGGAGGATGGACTGAGCGGTGGTGGGATTAGAGAACGACGGATTGCTGATGGAGCATCAATCAGCAGTGTTGGCAGTTCATCGAGGTACATTGAGACAAATCGTGTTTATGTGGATGTGATACACAGACACACACATCCTATGATATGCATTTGGTGCTACATAACCTCAGCACATGATACAGTGTTATAAAAGAGAAAAATAAATCATTATTTATTAGTAATAGAGAATCTGAAGAAGTAGAGTGATACTTAATGACATTTGTGTTGGTACAGGATGATACATAATTTTCAGATTTCCCCGTTATGAAAAAAACGATTTGTTATGCATTTTATTTTCTTTACTTATGATTGCACAACATGTTACATGAAAGTAAGAGGTTTGTGCTCCTTTAAGATTTGATATTCTCTGGTGCTTATGACTATGAAGTCACTGTCATATGAGATGTGATGCTGTATAGTTTGGTAGATACATTGCAACATTTTAAGAACGTTCTGCCTCCATCTCCTACTCTGAAGATGTAGGCTTCAGGCCCCTCCAGGTTGTTGGTTGCCATCTGCTGATCCACACGGTCTTTCTTACCAATAATCTTTGTTGTATTGATTTTTCTTATTTTATTTTCCAGTCCACCACCTGAAATAGAAATGCAGGAACATCGGAGATCTCGTCGTGACATGTCACCACAAGGAAGGAAACGGGCAGCTGTTATGATGAGTCGTGATAAGATGGTCAGTTATCAGCCTCAGAGAAAGGTTAGTGCCCCCCTCCCCATCAGTCATATGTGTTGTAGCTAGGTTCCATCATAGCAAATTAACAGTCCTGCTGAATACAGAAAAAACATTGAGTCAAAAGGTGTATAATAATAAATTGTTCTGAGAATCAAAGTACATGTTATTTTCTTCTCCATTTTTGTGCTTGACAGTGTATCCCTTTACTCTCTCTGATAAAGAGAGTAAAGAATAGCAAATTTTGTAGTGGTTTAATGAAAAATGGGGAATGCAGTAGCATAGTTGGCTGAGGCACTATGCTCCAAGCTGGAAGGTCATGGGATTGAATCCCAATGAGGTGGATTTTTTCAATTTACCTAATCCTTCCAGCCATACTATGGCCCTGGGGTCAACTCAGCCTCTAACAGAAATGAGTACCACGAATATTCCTGGGGGTAAAGGGCGGCTGGCACATAAGGCTGACAGCCTCACCGCCATCTGTGAGCCTATTGTCTAGAAAATGTGGGATCCTCAACTTCTCACAACCCTATGGGCCTCCACGGGCTGTTACAGGAATACCTTAAGGCTGGGGCCACACGAGCGCACAAAGTACATCTGTTGCAACGAACATACTTTATGATGGACGTTGCTGAGGACACCACACAATTGCAGCATGTGGTGCATAGTTTCTTGTCTGCAATGGAGCCAGAAGAAAGCATAGCGTTCCCCTCTCTTGTTTATTTCTACAACGGACGTCACAACATTCGTTAAAATGGATGCATTTGTGCGCTTGTGTGGCCCCAGCCTTACCTTTTTTTTTACCTAGTAATAATAATTATTATTAATATACTTTAGCCTTCCGCTACTTAAAAATTATCAGAAATTAGCATCATAATATCTTATTTATAAGTCATATGTATTTGCTTATTGCGTAGGTGAGTCAAATGAAAACTGTAAAACTGAGATAAAAATTTGAAATATCGCACCATTGCCTTACTTATATAAGTTGGCAGACATGTTACCAATGTTATAAAGAGTATCCTATAGTGGCAGTATAATGCAGACAAACAGAACGCTATCACAGTGCCAGTTTGAAGATGGCCGCTCCTCTATATACATGCACGAAAGAAGAACAATGTTCTGTAATTCGTTTTTTGATCAGTGAAGGTGTGAAACCAATCGAAGTTCATCAGTGGATGAAGGTTTAGTATGGTGATGCATGCTTGTCACAGCAGGTAGTGTATGAGTGGAGTAGGAAATTCAGAAATGATGTGACATCTGTGGCAGACGCTCCTCCTCAGGTCAGGCGCACAGAGTTGTGACCCCTGAGTCTATTGCAGCAGTTGAAGCCCTAGTAATGGAGAATTGTCAAGTGTTGGTGGATGAAATAGTCCAAATTCTTAACATGAGTCACGGATCAGCACACCATGTCATTCATGATGTGCTCTAGTTTCACAAATTGTCTGCAATGTGGGTGCCATGGCAGCTGACTCCAGAGTTGAAACAATGACATGTTGACACCTGTGAAGAACTTTTGCGGTGCCTTGAAGCAGAAGGTGATAGCTTCCTTTTGAGAATTGTTACTGGCGATGAAACTTGAGTACACTACCACCAACCGGAAACAAAGAGAACGAACAAGGAATGGTGTCATTCCTCAACACCAAAACCCAAGAAGTTCCGGACGCAGCCATCTATAGGGAAGATTATGCTGAATCTCTTTTGGGATGAATGAGGCATACTCTTGGAGCACTACAAGCCTCGGGGAAAGACTATCACCAGTGCCTCCTATTCAGATCTCTTGAATAATCATCTTCGACCTGCAGTCAGATCAAAGCAATGTGGACTTTTGACTAGAGGTGTCCTTTTGCAATGTGACAATGCTCGGCCCCATACTGCCTGTGCAGCAGTTGCAACAATCCAAGATTTGCACCTCGGGTGTCTTCCACATCCGCCATACTCACCAGACCTAGCCCCAAGTGATTATCACATGTTTGGGCCACTCAAAAAGGTGATGGGATGAAAGAAGTTCCTTTCTGATGAAGAGGTACAGCAGGCGGTGCATGAGTGGTTGTGCAGACAACCACAAGAATATTTTTCTAGAGGAATCAATACACTTTGTAAATGCTGGAGGACCTGTATTGAACAAAATGGAGACTATGTAGAAAAATGATATAGTTGTGTACCGTTTTCATTCAATAAATTAAATTAAGAAAAAAATTTAAGGTTTTCATTTGACTCACCCTCATATAAAATTCATATCTGTGTACTCCAAATGACTGTTGTAGTTTTTCTGTATTATCATAATGCTACAAAGTGAGTGTTGCTAGAGAATAGTGAATGATGGTTCTGTAAATCATACAAGTGCAGTCCTTAGAAGCAAAGCATGACAAATTATTTCTGATATCTTTCATTACATTGCATTATATTACATTACATTATATAATATTGCAAAATTCTGAGAAAATATAAGTTGGATTCTAAATGAAACTGTTAAAGCTACAGTGACTTCAAGAATTTCATCAAATAGCAGGAATAGTCCCTCTACAGTAAATTTTATAGTTAATGTACAGGTAATGTATTTCCATTTCTCTATGTGAGATGAAATTTATAATGCCAGGTTTGTGATAAAATTGGAGAAGCTTGCTTTAAATGTATTTCCACACTCAACTCTATGCATTTTAATTGTATTCAGTAATGTATGTCAGTGTCATGCATTATTCCACTATATATGCAATGCCGTTGCCATAGAAGCAGTGGTTTCCTCTAGATGCTAAATAAGTCATAGATGGGAAAACAGAAGTATTTTGTAAAAATGAACATGCGCTTTGATGTTTTCCTTTTTAATATTTCATTTTACTCGATAGTTTGTTCCAAACACTACACACACGCGCGCGCACATGCAATAAATACATACATACATAAAGAGTGGGCCTAAGTGCTGGCCCTTGCACCACAACCTTCAGTGATCTATTGTTCATAAACACTATACATACTTTTAGAATGTGGAGCTGGGATAGTGCAGTCAGTATAGTGACTGGCTATGGGCTGGATGTCAAAGGGGTTTGAGTTTGAGTCCTGGTAGGTTCAAGAATTTTCTCTTCTCCACATCATCCAGACCGGTTCTGGGGCCCACCCAGTCTCCTCTCCAGCGGTTACTGGAGAATCTTTCCTTGTGTGTAAAGCAATGGTGGCATGAGGCTATCTGCTCACCTTCAACTAGTGTGAGGTCAAGAAAACAGATCCCCCAAATGCCTTAATGGCATAGTTCTTAATTAGTTAAGCGGATGGACCACTTTACTTTTATATATGGAATTTTACATGCTAACTCACTGACACATTTGGAAGAAGGCAAATATTTTCCAGCGATATTCTGAATTCCAGTCTGCCCCTCAATTGTGTGTTACATTTACGCACTGAAGTGAAGAATAAAATGAAAGTGCATTTATATGTCATATTTCTCAAACAGTGTGAATAATGAAGACATCTGATATGAGCTACAGTCTCATGCAGAACACAAGAGTGGCTGATTTTCTGTCTTTAATATTTGTACATTATGTTGTTGGGGGTGCACGCGGTAGCGTAGTTGGTTGAGGCACTATGCTACAAGATGGACGGTCATGGGTTCAAGTCCCGATGAGGTCATTGGATTTTTTTCGATTGACCTAATCCTTTCAGCCGCACTATGACCCTGGGGTCGACTCAGCCTCTAACAGAAATGAGTACCAGGAATGTTCTTGGAATATTCTGGGGGGTAAAGAGCAGCCGGTGCGTAAGGCTGACAACCTTGACGCCATATATGAGCCAGTTGTCTAGAAAATGTGGGAACCTCAACATTTTACAACCCTATGGGCCTCCATGGCCTGTTACAGAGATACCTTTACTTTTTGCATTATGTTATTGGGTTCCCAACTGCAAGATTGTCTTTGCTAGCACATAATGATCAGCAGATGTGTGGTTTGTTAATAGTTATCATCATCATCTCCTAACTTTATGACTAGAATGAGTAGTCTTATGACAAACCTTCACTTTTTTATGTTGTCCCATAATAACTCTGCTTCTTATTTGTTTAAACTCTTTCATTATTATTGTGTTTTGTATACTGTCTCTCACGTGATCTCTCCATCTCATTTATTTTGTTTTACTGCTCCATTCTATAGTGTAAATTAAGGAAGAAAATCCAGTCCACATGAAAATGTTTAAGGTATATTTTGTACATGCAGCATGTGATATGTAAGTAGTTTATTACTTGACTTTGGAATATTGTTATTTAAGAAAGAAATGCTATTACTGTCACTTGTACAGTCATTTCTTTTTTCCATACATGTAAAATCAGTGCCAGTCCTTACAGTAATAATTTTGTTATGGATTTTAGCATCAGAAAATGAAGACATTAAAGTAAGATTTGAGGGTCTCATGGCAGTGACTGTGAAGAGTGTGGTGTGACACCATGTAGTATTGTAGAGCTTTACTGACATTCCTTTGAAGCACCTGCCAACTTGTGCCAGGCAGATTCTGCCACTTTGTACCAGACAGATGTCAGTACTTATAAAAGCCATCTAAAAATATCTGACCTGAACTAGAACCAAAGATGATTACCCTTTATCCTCTGTTGACATCTTTACAAATATTGATTTTTGGTATGGTCACACTATAAATGTTGCATGTTTCAAAACTTGCAGAAGCAAAGCAGCATAACAGTGTCATGGCTATTCGTCAATGTACTTTCACTTTTACAGTAATAACAGATTAAAATATGGTAGTATGGAACATGACACAGAATCACATTAACAAAGAAATAACGTGTTGGGAGAGTACATTTTTAGGCATTGCCCAGATAAAAACAGTGTACAATATTTTATAGGCTGCTTCTATTCCAGTCTTTAAGCAGTAGGAAGTAATACCTACACTGTGGACCTGTTAGTTAAAACTAGTCTTTTAACTAACCTACATGATCTCATTACACATTTATAATATGTCTGATCAGTGCTCACTCTTACATCTCTCATTTGTCCACCTAGATTCAAAATATTTTATGCTATTGGTACATTCATGTGAAACATTTAGCCATTTTCTTTTCTTAGAACCAGAGCAAGTAGCATTCTTTCATCTTGAGTTCCAGTCTTCTGTTAACACAGTACAGTACATATTCCACAGTGTCCAGACCAGCTCTGGGGCCTATACAGCCTTCTATCCAATGGGTATCAGGGGCTCTCTCCACAGGGGTAAAGCAGCCAGAGAGTGCCAAGGTCAAGAATGGTGGGGCTAAACTTCCACTCCCCCATACATCTTCATAACATGGTGATTAATTATTTAAGCACAGGGACAACTAACCTTTTACCATACAGCACACCCATTTCAACATTTTCCATTCAGAGTCTTATTTACAGGGAGAAAATTATAAGAACTAACAGAAAAATGTGGATGTAAAAAACATTATTGTTGTACTTAATATACTCTTGACATAAAAGAGGTCTTGCCAGTTTTCTTGGTGAATAAGAGGAAACTATATTCTGAACATGTTTTGTTTGCGGTCATTTTAATGACTGCCTTCATTTGGGTGGTTTGTGTCATGAGGTACAACATGTTACAGCTTTGGGGTTCCATTGATGTACGTGTTAACCACTGAAGTACAACATACCACAGTCACCATAAAAAATGAAACTTATTGCTTGTTCTGTTGCTTTCATCGGTTTTGTAACAGCTTAAAGCCAGTACATGAAATGCAGAACAGTCAAATTTGTAACTGTTTTGATGAACCTGGAGGATACAACATTTTTTGATGAATTGCCAAAGAGATAGATAAGGTTGAGGATAACAGATGAGATGCTACATTTCCTCATAGGATAACCTTAAAAGTGATTGAAGGATTATGTTTTGTAAGACCCAGTGAGGCAAAGTGATATTCAAAATATTTATGAAGGTGATGACATTATGGCATAAAAAGAAATTATTTGGCTAGTATGAGACAAGTATTATAGTTTTTCTTTTTTTGTTTTAGAATGGAGGTCAAGTTATGATGGGACAACGCTCACATTCTGCAGCACCTACAGATTCTCCTAGTCTTCATTCTAGAAGTAGATCCAAAAGCCCACGTCGTATGGGGGAGCACCGTAGCCTGTCACCACCGGAGGGCAGGATGCATCTTCATGGTCAATCTATTCCTTCTCATGCCTATGTTCCACGTTTCTCCCGCTCAGCAACTGCCACTCCCACTGGTTCGCCCAAGAAACGCCAGCTTCCACAGATACCACAAGCCCTGCAAAAAGCACTTAAAGAGCGCGTTACTCAGGTATAATTCCTTTTTCACTTTCTCAGTCTAGTAAAATGCAGTATGGAAACTCACTACTCATTCTTTTTAGTAAGATGAATTCTGGTTCTTTAATAAACATTAGGTATATTCTTTCTGTCTATTATACTGAAGAACAGTGATTTGTTGTTCTTATAGCATTATACAGTGGTTGTTATGATGATGATGATGGTGAAGAAGAAGAAGAAGATGATGATGATGATGATAATAATAATAATTCAATTCGTGTTTATTTATTCAATTCAATTCATGTTTATTTATGTGCAAACTTAACAGCACAGTGGCCAGTTACAAAGTTAGCACGAGTAAATAGAAATACACAAAAATTAAAGAGCAAAATAAAAAATATGACAGTCTATACAATATCAATAAATTAGTAACAATTCCAAGAAAAGAAAAGAAAAAAAAATAAGTTAGCTTTAACAGGCGAGAAGAATAAAATAAGTACATTTCGAATGGTTATTCCATTATGTGATGAGAAAGGACAATACACATACATACACACATAGAAGTTGTTAATAATAATAATAATAATAATAATAATAATTCTTATTTATTCGTGTGGAATAATA